CCAACAATTTTAACTTAATCATCTTTTTAAACATATAAATTGTTTTATAAATTTTCCATTTAATTTCAAATTACTCCGGCAGAAATCAGATAAATACATCAGAATTTTCACATTCCAAGTTCGAAAAATTAACTAGAATTTCTTGTGAAGGTCTGAGGTCCCTGACAAACTGAAAAATCTGATATAGTTACCTCATAAATGAAGTCATGATAGCTGCATTAATACTTTTGAAGTTTGTTTCTCCATCTATCAGCCACAGAACAGTATGACACTTCCTGTGTTAAGAAACATGCTGGCACATTGTTGGGATGTGTTACGGAGCAGGACTCTCATCTGATCATACCAGATTTCCTGCCAGATGTTGTTTATTTCTACCTCGTCCATGTCTGACACCTACTGTCAAAATGATGACTTACTAAGAAAAAAAAACTGTTAGTAAATACAGACTAACTTGCATTTTAATATATAATTAACACAAATTCCTATATTAACTAAAGACCTAACACAAAGAACAGCAAACAGCTTTTGGCTATACACAATGTCTGTAAAGCAGATTTGTATAACACGTTGCACAAACATGACTTAAAGTGCCACATGTGCATAAAACACATAGATTTTGGGTGTATTCGTAACAATAGTCAGTCCATATCCCAATGCATGCTCAATAATCCAGGTAGAAAAATCTAAAAAAGTTAAATCTGGTCCTCTGGACATTCAAAAAAAAAAAAAGAGATCCAGGAAGTGGTTACAAGAAAAAGTTAATAGATTGCCTGAAAATTTTGGAGCAGGACAAGGCTATTGACCGTTTTCTGTACCACAGACTGTACCCAGGGGAGGCCACACCTAGTCTGTATGGTTTACCTAAAATCCACAAACAAGGTGTACCTTTAAGACCAATTGTTAGCATGATTAACTCTGTCACTTACAATGTTTCCAAATATCTGGCATCTGTACTCATCCCTTTAGTTGGCAGCTCAGAACACCACATACAGAACACCATGGACTTTGTGGACAAGGTGAGGGATGTCATCATGGAGACTGATGAAACAATGGTCTCTTTTGATGTCACATCACTTTTTACATGCATTCCTGTTGATGATGCAGTAGAGGTGGTCAGTTTAAAATTAACATCAGACACCACTCTGAGCAGCAGGACCACGCTTTCCACAGAACAACTGTGTCAACTCTTGAAACTGTGCCTGCAGTCAACCTACTTCACATACGGGGAGCAATATTATAGGCAGAAACATGGGTGTGCTATGGGGTCTCCAGTTTCTCCTATTGTTGCCAACCTGTACATGGAGGAGGTAGAAAAGAGAGCCTTGACGTCCTTTTCAGGGACACCACCAAGTCATTGGTTCAGGTATGTTGACGACACCTGGGTTAAAATCAAATCTCAGGAAGTCCAACATTTTACTGACCACATCATCTCTGTGGATAAATACATCAAGTTCACATGAGAAGATGTAAAAAATGGCAGGTTGGCTTTCTTGGACTGTGAGGTCTCAGTCTCTGATAGAGGACATTTGCAAACTGAGGTGTACCGCAAACCCACCCACACAGACCAGTATTTGCAGTTTGACTCCCATCACCCTTTGGAGCACAAGTTAGGAGTCATCAGGACTCTGTATCACAGAGCAGACAGCGTCCCCACTAGCTCAGGAGCCAGGCAGAAGGAGAAATCCCACACAAGACAGGCTCTAGAGCAATGTGGATATCCTAACTGGGCCTTCCTAAAAGCAGAGAAGAAACCCAAACAGGACTCCAGTCAGCCAACAGGTGAAAAGGAGGAACCCAGACCCAGACCAGTGGTCATTCCATATGTTGAGGGAGTATCAGAGAAACTGAGACGTTTATTTTCTAAACATAACGTCCCAGTGGCTTTTAAACCCCAAAATACATTACGGCAAAGACTGGTTCATCCCAAAGATCCAGTCCCCCGGCACAAACAGAGTAATGTTGTGTATGCTGTTCAGTGTCAGGAGGGTGATCAGTCTTACATCGGGGAAACAAAACAGCCACTGGCCAAAAGCACAGAAGATCAACATCATCAGGCCAGGACTCTGCGGTCTACACTCATCTCCAGGCCAGCGGTCACTCTTTCAAGGATGAAGATGTTCACATCCTGGATAGAGAGGAACGATGGTTTGAGAGAGGAGTAAAGGAGGCCATCTTTGTGAAAAGAAATCGTCCATCATTAAACAGGGCTGGAGGCCTCCGGGTTCAACTGTCCCCCTCTTACAATGCTGTGATTGCTAGTATCACTCAGCCCTCTGTGAACAGTAAACAGCCATCAGTGCGCTAATGACCCATTGTTAGGCTGATATTTAAGAGACTGAGTTGAATACAGCACCTCAGACTGAGGAAGTCTCTCGGATGAGAGACGAAACGTTTCTACATTTTTTTGTTGATTTGCTTTGTTTTTTTGTTTTTTTTTGAATGTCCAGAGGACCAGATTTAACTTTTTTAGAATAGTCAGTCCAGTTACTGAGCACAACAATGATCATATCCAGCTGTTTTTCTCATGTACAACTGGGGGTTAGGTTGGGTGTGACGAGGCAGCAATCCCATTTGGTCTTGGCTCTGCTCAGACTAGCCATGAGCTCATCAGTCCATTTAGAAATAATGTGTGTTTCTGTAAACTGAGGTCACTGAAAGAGCTATCTACAGCAGGTAACATGTTGACTGTTCATAATATTTTAACTGAAGCAAACTTTGAAAGATTCGAACTATCCCTTTAATCAGACATTCTGTCACTTTAGTTTCTTATTAAAAGTAGCAGCATCAAAATAAATCTCATTACTAATAGATTTGTTCTAACAGTCAAACTGAGTTGAGGTGCATCAACAGATGCTTCCTGGTGATTCTTAATGACTTGTCACTAAAGCGCTGAAACAACATCTGCTTTCATTCTGATATTTATCTTTAGTTTCTGTCCGATGGAAAACGACAGCGAGGCAAACATCTGCTTTCATGCTTGAACACTTGTGTGCATCAAAAATGACAATCTGTGAAGAAACTTTAAGAAATTCTTGATTTTCTCTTTTTGGTGAAGCTCAGGGGTGCCCTATTTGTCGATCACAAAGGCATTATGGGTAGATCGCATGGCATTAAAAATATTGACGTCAGCCTATCATCCATCCTCACTATGAAATTTGTTATTTGATTGACATACAGGTTAGCCAGTCACAATCCACGTTCTCTCAAACCAGATCTAAGAGTGGAGATTTTCAGAGGACCCCCCCCACTCCCCACCACCTAAATTCTCTGTGTGTGAAGTTGCACATGCGCCCTACAGGCAGCTGCAGTTGCTCTGCACTAACAACAGTTATAATAAATGGCAGAGAGCAGAGTGTTTTTGTGCTACTCACCCTCTTTCAGCATGTTGGAGCAAAACTAATAAATCCACGCTCCAAAGAGACGTTAGTGTCTTCACCAGATCAGATGTAACTGTCAGGCAGAGCAGGGGCGATTCTAGAATCTGACCTTTAGGGGCACTCAGCCCCCAGTGCTGACAATGATTCTTGGCTTGAAAAATGGGGTGGCATGTGGTATCAGAAGCATTGATAATGGGTGTGTGTGTGTGTGGGGGTGTGGGGGGGGGGGGGGGGGGGGTGATCTGGGGGTCCTCCCCATAACATTTTGAATAAAGTAGATACCATTTCCTACATTTGTTGTATTTTAACATGTTGTTAAACATCTATGTTCACTTACATAAGTGAACACTTGATTCAATAACTATTGTAAAGAGCTCTGCACAGCAGGAAGTAGCGCCAAGCTAGCAGCATACAATACAGACACGCTACCTAAGATGCTACAGACGTAGCGCTCTGTTTTACATTACATAACCTAATAAACACTTTCCACAAAATCAGTTTAGTGTTAACTGATGTGCAACCAGAAGTTACAACATCTACATACAAAACACACAAAACAAATCACAACTAGCTTTAAGCATTAACCTTTAATGTAACCATAAAGTGTACAATGTAATTATGACAGAAAATGGAGGATTTACCTGCAGTTACCTTCATACAGATGGACATTAGGTACTTCCTGTTTATCACTGTTGTATTCAGCTGCTCATGAAGTCGACCACAGAACTTTATCGTCTTTTACTTTTTTCTAGACTTATGTTTATGTTTTGGAAATAGAATAAACTGTATTCCACCCTGTAAAGCAGAGTTATTCAACTGAACAGTTCAGGGGGGCACAGTTACTGAGAGCCAGCAGACATCCAGCATTAAAGTCATTTTGTAAATAAACCAAGTATTACAATGATCTGTTACATTTAAATGTGTTTATTTTGTTGCATTGAATCATAAATGCAATAAACAGAACCCAAACCAAACCCAGACACCCCCCCCCCCCCACCCCAAAAAGTTTTTTTTTTTTTTTTTACTTTATTTTTCAGGTGTACTCAATTAAAATTTAGGGGTGCTTGGGCACCCCCCAAAAAGAGACTAAAATCGCCACTCATGCAGACGCTGAAGGCACAATGAATACGGCTGAGCAGGGTTGCCAGATAAATTTAAAATGTCTTAATTACCACTCCTTTTATGTGCACATGTTCAACAAACAACACATACCTCATCTTAGAATCTATTTACTCATCTCATATGACAATTTAGGTCAAAATACTATAATTTTAAAGTGACAGTACTATAGTTCATAATTTCTTATCTGGCAACACGACTGACTTGGAAACGACAGTGTTTTTTGTGTAAACCCGCTCACTTGTTGTTTATTACCCCAATAAACATTGAAAAAACAACAACGTTTCCAGAGGTTGTTCTCGTGTAAAGGGGGCAGGTGGATCACTTTGACTTGGTCATTTTAAAAGTAGCTCGTATGCTGAAAAAGTGTGGTCACCCCGGTGTAGCTGAACAGAATCTGTGTCGTTTAGCCACTCGTCAGGCTCAAATATTTGTTATTTTCGACTACACAGAAAGAAGACAGATTGCACATTCTAATCTGCATCTGTGTTGTTCTCTTCCCAGGCCTGGATGACTGCCTCCAGCAGTATGTGAAGAGTTTTGAGCGGGAGCAGATCGGGGGAGAGCAGCTGCTGCACATCACCCATCAGGAGTTGGAGGAGCTCGGCGTCACCAGAATAGGACACCAGGAGCTCATCCTGGAAGCTGTCGACCTCCTTTGTGCCCTGGTCAGTCTCTGAGCACAATAATCTCTAAGTGAATAGTACATTTGTACTTTATACACATATATATGTGTGTGAGACAAGATGATGAATGTGTCCAAAACACATAAAGCAAAGCAGAAATGATAAAGAATGGAGAGGCAATCTTGCTGTATTAGAGAGTGATGCTGAAGTGCATTGTAGCACAGAATATAAAGAAGTTTGGAAGAATACCAAGTCCAGCAGGAGTTTTAAAACAATCTAACTTAAGATAAAATGTTATATTTTTAATTTAAAAACAGATACAACTTGTGAATAAAAGATATTAGTTAAAGACATTGCATATATTTTATTTTCTGGATTTTCACTGATTATTGTCCACCACAGAAGAAAGATTAGATGTTTTTTTATGTACTGTATGTGTGAATGAGCCTGTTGATTTGTCTGTTGTGTCCTCAAAATGAAATCTCATAAAAGACTGAACTGAAACTCTTTGATCATCAGTCGCTGGACGAACATTTACAACTGATTAGCTTATGAAGTCAACTCAAGCCAAGATGGCATCCTTAATGAGCCCCCTTGAGAATAAAAATAGGAGAGCAGCTTTAGGTTAATAAAATAAAATGAAATAAATCACACAAAGAGGTTTGACATTTTTAAAAAGTTTTTGCTTTGGAGTCTCAGTTATTATTATTTTGTTTGCTATTTGTGGCAGTGGGAATGACAAAAGACAGAAGAACTGGAAATGGCAGAAATGGAAATGTTGAGGTTCTCCTTAGGAGTGACAGGGATGGATAAGATTGGGAATGAGATCATCAGAGGTACAGCACAGGTTGAACATCTGGGAGATAAAGTTAGAGAGGCCAGACTGAGATGGTTTGGACATGTCCAGAGGAGGGACAGTGGGTATACTGGTAGAAGGATGTTAGAAATGCAGCTGCCAGGAAAAAAATAAATAAAGAGGAAGACCAAAGAGAAGATGGATGTGGTTAGAGAGGACATGGAGGTAGATGGAGTGAGGACAGAGGATGCAGAGGACAGAGGTGGAGGAGAATGACTTGTAGTGGTGACCCCTGAAGAGGGAAAAGTCGAAAGAAGAAGATGAAGAAGAAGAAGATGGTCAAACCATCAGTGTAAAATATTTCATGTGACAACTTCAATTCTCTGTTAAAATATTTGTGTTGGCTGTTGTTGTTTTATTTCTTCACAAGTCATAGATGCTGACAGAAAAACAGAAACAACAATGTTCAGTCAGGCTATCTGGACGGTTTCTTGTTTTGCTGAGATGTTTCGTCCTTCATCCAAAGGACTTCTTCAACCTGATGAGCCTCCCAAACAGATTCCCACAAACAACATACGCCATAGTAGAAAAAAAAACAAAAAACAGTTTGCTGGTGCTAAGATGGCCTCTGGGGCCCACCCTCTCCCCCATCAACTCTGCTGAGACAGTCCTGCCAAAGTGGTTCAAAACACCCAAGTCCATGCTCAATGATCCAGGTTACAAATCCGACAATGTTCAGACAGGTCATCTGGATGGTTTCATTTATTGCTGAGACAGAGCAGTCTTGTCCTTCATCCAGAGGATGAAACTGCTCTGTCTCAGAGTTGACGGGGGAGATGGTGGGCCCCAGAGGCCATCAGCACCAGCAAACTGTGTTTTTTTTCCCACTATGGAGTATGCTGTTTGTGGGAATCAGTTTTTTTGGTTGCTCCTCAGATGGAAGAAGTCCTTTGGATGAAGTATGAAACATCTCAGCAAAAAAAGAAACCGTCCAGATGACCTGCGTGAACATTGTTGGATTTTTACCTGGATTACTGAGAACGGACTTTGGTGATAAAAACAGAACATTTCTCAGGTGTTGCTTTGTGCAACTTGTTCGGTCACTGCTGATTTTTTTGTACAGTGGTCCTGCTCAGGATTAGAGAATTAGTGGGAATTAGGTGCTACTCTCTCAGAGAGGGAGCAGGGGAGAGGTGAGAAGGAAAAAGAGGAAGAATATGTAGAAATAGTGTGCAGGATGCACCTTATCTCTCAGGCACACATGGCTGGATTAATGTGTGTGGCTGGGAGTGTGTACACATCAGCTCCCCTTCACATTCAAGTCTTCTAGCTTGGGCAAGAGTGTCCCAGAGTACGGATCACTATATATGCCAAAAATGGACACACACACCCAATCAATCAATCAATCACACCACAAATTCATAAATGTATTTTGACTACTGAGACCAAGAAACCATGTCTGGATGAGAAAAGAGAAGCAGTATGACAGGTTTAAAACACAGCCACAGCTCCACTAAAGGTAACAAGCACAGATATTTGAATACTCATTCAGAATTGAAAGAGTCTAATCATGTTTTTTGCTTGGTTCCGTGAAATCACACTAAGCTTTGTGAGTATTGGGATGTTTTACATTTACATTTAAATACAGTCATTTGGAGGACAACTAGATCATGACATCAAAAACAAGTGTTTTTATAACCTTTCATGGAAAGGTTTTAAACAAAGATTGTGTGTGATCTCTTAGCGTTCAGAGAATGTATTGAGGATTACTTCAACCTAATATTGTATCAAATTTTAGCTCAGTATCTAAAACTGACAGTTATAACCATTTTCGTGTTTGCTACCACTGATCAGCTGACAGTCTTCTTGAATGGGAATTGAGAGATTCAATTAAATTTGTTCAGTGCTTCGTGAGATATTTTGCTAACACAGAGACAAACACTCAGACAGCCTTTGGTTAACAGACGTTTCTGGCAGCGGGTGAGCAACTAAAATGCTAACCTGGATAAAACACAACTTTCAGTGGCAAACTACAAGCATACTCAGACAACAACGTCCTGAAGTAGCTAAGGCTAAATATTAACTGTCACTGGCAACATAAATAGTCACAAGGAAGAATAACAACCTGGTTATTTTGTCTGTATTTAAAATAAAGAGATTATTTGGCCCTGGATCAGTGCATGTTTCAGATGCTGACAATTGTATACAGATTTTGGTGTTATGATAGTTGCCAAAGTGATGTCTCTATAGGCAGGAAAAGGTTCAAAAAGGAAACAGGCTTTAAAATTCTATGTTGCATGAAGTGTGTCAAAGTGGACAAAATTTTTTTTAATGCAGTAGGCTGCAAAGGTATACATATTTTTCATTTATTTACTGAAGTGGGCAGGCCTTTGGTTCTTTGCAGTAATTTGTTGCAGAGACACAACAATGTCTTAAATCCTTGTATCAGCTAATGATACTGAGGCTCGCTCTTTACATTCTGACTTTCTTGTAGTGTTCCACAAGGTCCTATTTTAGGACTACAGTACTTTTCAGAGATTTACTAATTTATTTAGGTTTTCCTTTTCTATCAAGCATTTACATTGGCAAATTTATTACATACATACATACATATGGTATATATATGTATATTTTTTTAAAATAGCAATTGTAACCAAAATTTAGCTAAAATTGTCAGCATCTGAAACATGTACTGATCCAGGCTGAGGTTGAGTGGTTAGAGCAGTTGTCCTCAATGCAAGAGTTGGAGGTTTGATTCCACCAACAGTCAGATGCCGAAGTGTCCCTGGGCAAGACACTGAACCCCTCATTGCCTCTGATGTGTGTCCCATCAGTGTATGAATGTGATAAAGCACTGACTAGTCTCTATACAGATGTAGTTGAGTGCTGTATGAATGGATAAATGAGGGCTCATATTGTAGTGTTAAGCACTTTGATTATCTTGATCAGAGAGAAAAGCACTAGTGTGCAGTCCATTTACCATTTATCATTATTATTATTACAGGATTCAAGGATTCTATGGTGACGTTATAATTGCCCAGTTAGGTTTGGTGCAATATTTGTGAATTTAACGTGTGAGTAAAAACAAAAAGATGGGCATAGAGGAGAGGCTACTCCACAAATGGTAACTATGGCAACTACACTGCTGTGAGGAAAGGGGGTGAGGGTGGGTGCACTATGGGTGGTGGTAGTGGGGGGTTGTAATAACATCATTCCCCTGCTGTATTGATTTGCGCTCTTCTGCATGCACATCTTTGCTTCTCTCTGTTTCCACACACATAAAGTCACTGAGACACAGCTTTCTTCTCCTCGGTCCCCTCGAGGCGACTGCACACCGACTCACATTGAATCATATGACAGACTAATTACAGCTGTACAAACATGTATGCTCCAAGTTCACATATGCATCTGGGTTCACACAGAATGCTCATACAGAGACAGTGTGTTTGACCCAGTTTCACTGGGATGCATCACTGGGTCCTCACTCCCTCATCTTCTGTCTCTTAGCTCCTCAGTTGCCTAATTTTCCTCTCTGTCTCTGCTCCCACTGTGATACCCTTCCTCCTTTATAGTCTCTGTGGTCGTGCCTGTGTAGACCGATCGAGAGGCAAAGGAGAATAGATACGTCTTCCTCTGACTGTGCTGTGACTTTATGAGCGTGTGCAGCCTTTTTGTCAGCAGGAATCAGGCTCTGTCAGGCAGGACATGACTTGAGGTGCCCTGTGACACTGAGCACCATGTGTGTTTGTACTTATTTTAAAAAGGTCACAGTGCAGTAATGGACTACTACTCCATCTTTGTGTTTATATATCAGTACAATTCAATGACTGTTTAATATCAATGTTGATATGTACTATACAGAAAGGAAACAGTTTCAATATTTATTTTCTAAAATTGTAAAAGGGCTATGTGTTGGCCAGTCTGAAGTGATATTCTGCATAAAAAATATGAACAGATGATACCTTACCTGTTGTAGATTGTGCAGCATCCCACCCAGGTCCCTCAAAGAGACAGAATGTCATCAGAGACACCCCATCTCTCCTACCCCCTTCCCTATGTGTTAATCTCCCAAGTCAGGATGAGTCTACATCCGGGACCACCCTGACACACTGACTGTATTATAATTAACTCTCCGTGCTAATTAACCTTCTTTTCTGAGAGGCAGACTTGGTGTCTCTTGACAGAAAGCTCGGACAAAAAGCAAACTTTACCTTACTACTTACTAACGGGACTGTCGTTGCCATGGTAACGAAGGAAGTCACCCCCCCCCCCCCAAGTTGGACAGAGCTTCAACAAATGTTTTTGTTTGTAAAAAATGGGGTGTCAGGATCAAACTTGCATTTTGCTAAAAGAAATTGTGTTTGTGCAAAACAAGGCGTTGCCATTGTCAGCAAAAGCTATTGTGTTTCCTCCTTTAAAAACGTTGAGGACAGGGTATAATTAAATTAATTTATGTAGTTCTTGTTCACACCCACGGGTTGGGAACTGCATTTTCACTGGTTAAGTTCAGGGGCATGACCACTTCTGATGTGCCAGGTAAACGGACACCAGATGCCAGTTGTTGCTGGAAAGTTGTTGAAGAGAGTTGCAGAGAAGAACTCGAGAGCAGTCTCATGATGGAAGAAGTGGGTCCTGGTAGAGAGCTGGATCTGAGCCAGCCAGAAGTCCACGGGACTCTGAGCCAGTCAACTGAGAGATGGAGAAAGTGATCTGTTACAGGTCCAAAGTGTCTGGACCGCTGCAACAGTGAAGTGCACAATCTGAAGAAAAATAAAACAGGAGAGAGCGATGATGACCAAAGTGTTGCTTTTAACATCCAGATTGTGTCTACTTTATTTGTTAACCAACAAACCTTTAACACTGTACAATATTAATGCTTTACATTACCTTTCTTTTCCACAAACATTTCCTTTTCTCACAAGTAATAAATAACTTCAACACATTACCTTCTTCACCATTTCTCATGACCATCCTTCACTTAAATGGAGACAACTAAGGTAAAGTGTATTAAACAGGATAAATCAACTGTTTTTACAGCTTTGCAGGATTTAGCTGCATATTAAGTGGTCTGAACATCAAAATGTACATTGATTTTTAACCTAATAATGATCTAAAATACAACTACAAATTTTATAACGCATATAATTTAACACGGCATTGTTCCAACTTTAACCTCTGGGTTCCCACAGAGAATAATAACAAAAGATACACAGAAAGAATAATGTCTCTCTGCCTTTAGCTTCAGCTACTGTCTTGACTCTTAGGCTCCTTGCTACTTTATGAGTCACAAAATAATATGCACTGAATGCTTATTCAAACAAAAGCAGCATAAATGATGGAGAAAGTCCTGAACGCTCACACATCCTGAAAAGTGATGCACGCTGCTGGAAAAGACGTAGTCCCTGAAAGAAAACATCCTTTTCCGGTGACAAAGTGAACCTCTGGCCTTCATATCACATCTGGAAGCCCTACTCTCATGTGACCCAGCTCTCAACCAATATTATCTCGCCATCTTATGTTCTATAATGGGTGGGTGCGTGAATGTTGGGAGTTGTAGGCATGTAACTAAAACTACAATTCCTACCGGATTCAGATTGTGTTTTAACACAATATCATTCTAAGTAACAAAACAGGATACATATATCTAGACGTTTCATTAAGTTAATATATTATCTGATAAATTATATTTCAATTTTAAAGTTAGAGCTAAAACCTTAGTTCAAATGGAATACCTCTTCTCAAAGTCTTGCATCATTCACTTTCTGAAATAAAACTATTGGTTATTCATCCATATTTCATATTTGCCATACGTACATATTGTCGTTATTCAAACTGAAAATAAATGTTACAGTTTTGTGTATTTAAATGACCAGATTCTTTGTCTTTTCTTCGAGTGAGGGGGATTACATTTGTTACAAGGACTCACATATAATTTTGGGGTTGAGGCCGGTCAACATTTATTACATAACTTTGAACGGTTAGTGTAGACACCTGTTAAAAAGTATTCAGATCAAAGCCTTTCCCCTACAATTGCTTTTCTGAACAGCGCCAGTTTGGGAGAATAAAAATATTCTGTGTAGAAATGACATTTTTAGTACTCCAGGTTTTCCAAAGTCAACACAGCCATTGTTTGGTTCGACACTAAAGTCATTGCATCTTCAGCATATTTACATCCCCTAAAACAATAAAGAAATTAAATTCTTATCACTTACTCGATTGCGTTTGTCTATATTCATCAGTCAGTTTATTTGTTGAACGATGACTATAAATAACCAGGATAACATCACAAATTTTATTTACCCTAAAGATGGGCCAAAAATGTATTATATTACATATTATCTGTATTAAAAACATTTACTGGAGTCATTTCAGCATGTTCACCTATTTATAGTTAATCTAATGTAATCTTTGATCAGCTTACAACACTGTACATTTAGACCAGCCCCTGTTTCACTTGTGAATAATTCATAATGAAAACATTTAACATACACTTTTTTTTCCAGCCCCTCTGTGTTCAGGAATTGTATCATTTAAAAACAGACTCACATATTTATAGTTAGTAAAAGAATGCAGAACTTGCTGTAAACTTGAGAAAGTACATTGATTTTTATGTCCCAAAATGCCTTTCTAATATTTTATTTTTATCACTGTTGATCTCTGACTTCATCACAGTACTACAGGTTCTTTCATTCATTCAACCTTTTTTTAGACAGGTTAATCCCATTGAGCCTCCGGGACAAAACACTAATGCAAAATGGCTACAAACACTAATCCACCTCTACGTTTCAATTCAATTCAGTTCAGTTTATTTATAAAGCACCAAGTCACAAAAGAAGTAATCTCAGGGCACTGAACAGAACCATTCATATACAGTATGTACAAGTATATACAAATAAGTTAACAATATTTATCTGAGGAGCAGACTGCTTTGAGTTTAATGCCATCACAGAAATCACATCTTGAGCAAGCACAAAAGGCGACAGTGGGAATGAAAACCTCTCATGAGCAAGACACCTTTAGCAGAACCAGGCTCAGTTTGAGATGCTTATGTCATTAACTTCAAAGTAACTGAGGCTGTTCTTTAAAAAAAAAAGATAAAATCTCTATTTTTCTCCCAGAATTATGGCCTGGAAACAGAGAATCTCAGGACACTGTCCCACAAGTTAAATGCTTCAGCGAAGAACCTCCAGAACTTCATCTTGGGCCGGCGCCGGGGCGGACACTATGATGGAAGAGCCTCTAGAAGACTGCCCAACGACTTCCTTACATCAGTGGTGGATTTGATCGGTGCTGCCAAGAACCTGCTGGCCTGGCTCGACAGGTAGTAATTTACAAAAACACTGGGAACCAGTAATTTGTTTTGCTTTATTGTGTAGTATTGGATTGAAATTCTGTGTTGAATAGAATATCATATATTGTATATTGAGATTAAAATCTGAATCGAATTATAATTATTGCCCTGTGTTATGATTAAAGAGTTTAGGCCTTCAAGACCAATTAGAGTTGTAATCAAAGGCTGAATCTTTTTGGGATTATAGTCTGAAAAGTATTGTAAACTGGAGAAATTGCATTTCCTGTGAAAATGCAGTGTGATTGCTTATTGCAGGAAAACCTGCTAAAAAACAGCTGAAATTAGCTAAAAAAAAACATTCTGAAATGTAGCTGAAATGGAAGAACAAGCCTAAGTTAGCAGAAGTAGAAAGAATGCATATTTGCTAAATTGGGTTTAAATGATTTGAAATGAGCACAGAAATTAGAAAATCAGCTAAAAAGCTAAAATAAGCAAAGAACAAAAAAAACAAAAAAAAAACAAGCAAACATCTAAATAGTAGCCAAAAAGGTAGAAAGAAGCTTAACCTATTAAAGTTGAAAGAGCTGAAATGAGCTAAAAAATATGAAATTAATTGAAAAGGCTACAGTTTGCATAAAACAGCTAAATAGTAGCTGAAATAGAAGAAAAAGCTGAAACAAGCAGAAAAAAGCAGAAAGGAACATAACAAGCTGAAATTAGCAGAAATAAGTTAGAAGCACAAAAATGTCATAGTTAGCAAAAATAATATAAAAGGATCCCAAAACAGCTGAAAAAAACCCCAGCTGAAAGTAGCTGAAGAAAAGTTTAAATTTGTACAAGGAATCCGCAGCGGAAGCAAAACAAAATGTGAAAGGAGCAGTAAAAGGTTGTAAACAGATCTAAAGATTTGAAGGATGTAAAATGAGCTCAATTCATTTTCTGTGAGAATTAAAATATAAGAAAAGGCTAAATATTTCAAAACGCTAAAGCTGCACCAATACCATACGTCAAGGCAGGATTATCCTGAAAGAGCTGAACGTTTTGATTTATGATTTATTGAAATAGCTTAAAACCTGCGGGACGAGAATCATGCAGATAAACGTACAGAAGATAAATGGATCACAATAAACATTCACACAAAAAAGACTAAAACCTATGAGTCAAAGCAGAATGACATCATGATTAGGGGCTGAATCATATTGATTTTTTCTTTTACTTCATGGATGAATTTAATTTAAAGTTGTTTTATGCTTCAAATTTACATGAGCCAGTGGAAGCATAATGTATGAAGTGTGTTTGGTGGAGCACAGAGCTTTGTACATAGTTCCATGTGCTGTTTCTAGTCATGTGGCAAATCAAATAGTGGAGTTTATCTTTATTTTTTGCTCTTGTGCTGGAAAAAAAAAGCTTTTTATCTCTCTCAGCAGCCCTGATAGTATTAAAGTATTTACACTGTTGGCAAATGAATAACAGAGAACTAAACTACTTTAATCCTATTATACACAATTAATCACCTGCTATTACACCACCCAAAAATGTAAGTTCAGCATCTGTTTCAAGCTCCCAGAGCATTTATCTGACCTGCTTTTATTTGTTTGTTTGTTTGTTTCAGGTCTCCCTTCGCCAGCGTGACAGAGTATTCATTACTGAAGAACAACATTGTGCAGCTCTGCCTAGAGCTGACCACTATCGTCCAACAGGTGCTTTCACACAGAGAAACAACATGAACCGTGGTAGTAGTGTCAAGAGCAAAGGTTTTGGAGCGTGTTTGTGGATGGAGCTCGCCCTACTCCACAGCACAGTTTTGAATCAAATATGATGAATCATGTAGCTGACAGACCTCATGGATCCACTGCAGGAGATCCCCCCCCCTCAAACAACCCTCAGCTCCGGTGGAGAATGAACTGCAGCCCCATCCTGCCCTCCTTTTATGTGCTCCCTAGTGTTCATCCACACGGTGCACACGTAAACATGCGCAGCCGTCCAAAAATAAAGCTGCCGCTGCACGCACGCGCTCCAGATGTAGCCATCTCATTGTTTAGCTGAAACCTCTGTCTGCTCTCTTGTCCTCGCAGGAAGAGTCTGCTTGGAGTGTGTGTTGATGTGTTTGTGCCCAGAGTGAGTCCTGGAGCTGAGCAGATAACACCCGTCCCGTCCTACATGGGCCAGAGGAGACTGAAGGTTCACAAAAGGCCAAACGAACCTGAGGCTGCCAAGGTGCAGCAGGAAAAACAAAGGTGGCAGCAGTGCCTGCACTGATGCCTCAAACAGATGTTTACGTCCTGCCGTGCACATCTGGATTCAGAGGGTCTTTTTCCAGGAGATTTATCAACTACTGGTGAAAAGCGAACTGTCACTTTTAAATAATTTTATATCCAAATCCAGAGGCTGGTGACGCTCTGGGGAGCCACACAGTTCGATCCAGTGTTGTACACAAAGTTGGAGAGGAAAGAGCTGACCGCTCATGTTCTCCACTGCTTCTTCCTGCTGAACATCTCATTCCTCTTCTTCCTTCCTCGCATGTTAAATTTGGAACAGAGGGACATCAGAGCTTGTGCTTGTATTGATGTTTTTCTGCCTCGTTAATCCTTCGTCCTTCTCGTGTCCCTCACAGGACTGCACGGTGTACGAGACGGAGAACAAGATTCTTCACGTGGTAAGTGCTTGTTCTAACAGCATCCATGATTACAAAGTGTTGATGCGTTTTTACCAGCCATCATAAGCACTGATGTCTTTACCCAAGCTGGTTAAAGGGATAATTCAGATCTTTACATGTGGGCATGCATCAGGATATTTACATGTGGGGTTTTGTCAAAAAGTTGTAGATGGCTTATTGAACGACCTCATGTTGAAGAACTTGAGTTTAGATCTGTCAGGACTGAGGAGCTAATGGCAAGTTCATATGCACCAAAGACCAAATATTTGTTTTGGTCATTGGTGGCACAAGGACTCAAACATTGTACTTGAGTAAAAGTACAAATAAACGGACAAAAATGTACTCTAGTAAAAGTAGAAGTACCACATTAAAACATTTTTACTTAAGTAAAAGTAAATAAGTACTTGCTTTTAAAAATATTTAAAGCATTAAAAGTAAAAGTACTTGCTGAATGTATTACCTAATGCAATGGTTTAAGTGTGCCTACCATATGTATATTTTCTGTAATACATTAATAATGTTGAGCCATTTTAATGAACAATGCTGCAGATAATACATGTTTTTATTGTGTTTACTCTGTGACACAGTTCACACTTGGACTTGTGATTCTGTGTGTCAGAATTTCAGGGATGACCTGCAGAGTTAAATACCATTAATAAAAATAAGAAAGAGAAATGATTATACTTTTGAAAGTTTTTATTTAACACAAAGCAAAACCAATGTGTCATTTTAACTACAGTAAACACATTAAAGTAAAAGTTGTCTGCCTGAACAAAAGGAGCATTAGACCTAACAAAGGAATATCTGATCAGTTCAACTCCAGTTTGTCATCAACTCCAGTTAAAATACTGTCTATTCAACCTTGTAATGGGTCAATATTGAACAATATTTTAACTTCCTGACACCATTTTAAAATTTGGACCCGAGTGTCGAGACATTTGGAGACATCTCTTGTCTCCTAACATCATGAACTGACACATATTAATATTGCAGCAAGAACTTCTTGTTCAAGTTCAGAAGAAGTTGGTTTTCAAAGATTTTGAGTCCAATCTGGTTATTTTGGGAGAAATAATCTGTCCTGCTATACTGTTTGGACTTTCAATAGTCTTTCAATAAGGCCATGGGTGGCGTGTATCTTCTGGCTGACTCTCTTACGATGGAATACATTTTGGGTGTGTTAGTGGTGCTGCGGGTGCACCCAGCTCAGTGACATATATACTAGAATATATGTCATTGGTCCAGCTCTTCTTGAAGGCGGGTCTAATGTTACCTGCACACATTGCAGTGATTCACTGGACCAACTCCCCTCTCACCACTGGTTACTTTCAGACTAACGAACAAATTCAAAAAACACAACATGAATGTAACTTGTAACGCATTATACGAATGTAGTGTAGTAGAAAGGACAGATAATGTAAAATGTAGTGGAGTAAAAGTCAAAAGCACACACATCTAACTCTACTTAAGTAAAGTACAGATGCATGAAAAATGTACTTAAGTACAGTATAAAAGTACTTAGTTGCATCCCACCACTGATTTTGGTTCATGTAATGCTGTTTTATAAACATTTTATTTGCCATCAGTTTTACAGAACATGGTTGATTATACAAAAATGTTATGATACTCCTTCTGAAGGTGCTCCAGGCTGCACTAGAAGTGCTAAAGCTAGCTGTTGCTGCCGTTATTTTTCATTCAACCTTTATTTATACAGGTAAATCCCATTGAGCTTCGAGGACTCATTTACAAGAGAGACCTGATTTCAACAAAGAACGATGACAACGATGGACAACAATAAACAATTATAAAAAGTCATACATTTTTAATTTTTTTAAACAAATAGGATGGCAAAAAAAAGAAAAGTAAAAAGAAAAGAAATGTAACAAAAAACAGCTAGATTCTAAGGCGATTGTAGAAAACTAAAAACAGGAACATGTCTGCGTTGGTCCCTGCCAGGAGTCCAACAGATTCTTAAAGCCACTTAGAGAGGTCAAGGTCGAGAGCTTCAGATCTTTTTGCAAGATATTCCAGGAAACAGGAGCGGAGTAGGAGAAGGCCCTTTGTCTAGTTCAGTCCTCACTGAGGGAACACTGCAGGTAATAATGTCCTGAGAGCGCACGCTGTGGCTGCACTCACACAGAGACATGTAGGAGGAGATGTATGAAGGCAGCAGACTAAGAAGTGATTTAAAGATGAAAATGTACCAGTGAGAGAGTCTGCGTGAAGTTAATGATGTCCAGTTAACCAGTGAATACTGGGTGCAGTGATGGGTACGATAATCACAACCAGTTATGAATCTTAGTGCACCATGATAGATAGACAGCATCCAACATCTGCAGGGTTCTTGTAGGAGTGTTCATGTAAATAATGTCACCGTAATCAATGGAGGGAAGGAAAGTCACAGATACAAGGCATTTCCTAGCATTCAGGGTTAGACAGGATCTGTTTCTGAAAAAGAAACCCAGTTTAACTTTCAGTTTCCTTACTAGGTTTTCCACATGGAGCTTAAAAGATAGATGCGAGTTGACCAAGATACCCAAATATTTATAGGAATCAACAAACTCAATGGGGACACCATTTGAGGATGAGATCAGAGGAAGAACTGCTGGGACCAACTTCCTATTTGAAAAAAAGCATCCCTTTTGGTTTTGTCGGCATTTGGGACAAGTTTGAGGCGGAACAAATCTGACTGGATGTTGTTAAATGCAGATTTCAAAAGCTGGAAAGTCTTATCAACAGTTTTAGCTCGACAATAAACAACTGTGTCATCAGCATAGAAATGTATGGATGCATCAGGGATGTTTTGACCTACATTATGTATGTAGATTGTAAAGAGGGTGGGTCCTAAGACTAAGCCTTGTGGTACACCATTGTTGACTGTTAAATAACTGGAGGAAGTACCATTATGTTGAGCACATTGCCTTCGGTCTGAGAGATAGTTAGAGAACCAACCAATGGTGTGTTCTGAGAAACCTATTTCTGAGAGCTTATGACACAAGATGTCATGATCCACAGTGTCAAAATCTTTAGACAGGCCTAAGAAAAGTGCGGCACAATAATCCTTAGCATTCAGTGCTTCAACAACGTCATTAAGAACCTTCGGTGAAGAAGATTTGTGCTTGAAATTGATCCCAGAAAGCTATGTAAATAACCACATGATGCAAAACTGTTAAAGTAAAACGTAACGCTCTATGAAATAACTTTGTTATAAAACACGTATATAAAGCACGTATATTCTTTTTCTCCATATTGAGGTAATTAAGTTATACCTACAGCAGTTAAGATAATTATTGTTCAAAACTTTTTTCAGAGCCCCACATAAAAATGGCTGAACTATTCCTTTAAAGTGACAAATTAATTTCCATGCTCTATTACTTTTTATACTAACATTTCCAAAGTTTTGCAAAGTATGTTGTAGAAAGTTGAGTTTACTTTATTCACCGAGTGCTGTCATTAAACTGAATCTCTTTTGTAAAAATCAAATCAAAACAAATTGTAATGGGTTTAGTTTTGGAAACAAAGCTGTGCCCTTTAAAGTGCCACACTCGAGCTCCCTGATTTTATGTGGACGTTCATGTTTTGTGTGTGTCCCCGACCAGTTTTCGTCTCTGATAATTTATGAAGTGCAAACGAGCCGCAGGCCATTTTAAAGCCACATAGGCTGTGTGCTCGCATGCATGCACGAACAGGAGAGTGTCTCTGTGTTCACGTGTGAAAGAGAGCGAGCAACTCGTGTCTGACGGTCAGATTGGGACTGTTCCTGCTGCCGTTCAAGGTCAGGTGCAGAAAAATAAACACAAAGTGTACAGGGAACAAAAAAACAATCTAATAGCATATCAAATATTCAAATGAGATGATTAGTTGATGAGCAAACTGTGATACACTCACAGAACAGACAAAATGTTTAAATATTTGTGACATTTCTAATTGATGTCCCCTTTTTGGACACGAGTCGCCTTTAAGCCTTTTGGTTGAGTTACAACTGCCAGTTGTCTCTTTTGTTAAATGCCTTATATCGACAGTAACATCAGGCAATTTCAAACATCTAAATGACACTGCAAGCACACATCCCTCAGCGCTGGACTCAGATCTGCACGTGACTAGGTCTGCAACACGTGGGAGGTTCATGGCTGAAGACAGCATGGAGACAGAGGTGTTTGTTTATAGATGCAGCCTTTTGGCAGACATTTATTTAAAACACTGACAAAAACACAATTAGGTTAAACGAGGGGTGTAGTGATTCAGCCACTAGGCTGCTCAAACAGAAACACAGATGACTCATGTAGTCATATCCACAAAAATTGTGTAAGTGCATTATTTAGATCTAAATAAACTCTATTTCATGTTTCTTTTCCCCCCGCCAACTAACCTGCTAAACAGCTGAGAACAGTTGAATTGTTTTCCATTCTACAAAGTACAACAAAGTAGCTGATTACTTCACAGGCCTGTGATTGAATAGTTAGGAGACATAGTCTGGGGACACATGGGAGGGTGACAATACTCTGCTTGAGGTTGCAGAGCATTTAAAAGATTCCCATCATCAGATGAGTGTAGACAAGAAATGCTGAAGACTTTGGATGGTGTGGGGCGATCTTGGTTTGACCTGCCTTGCAGTGGCAGCTGGTGGAGTTTTCTTCAGGGAGGGTC